CGTAGTTGAAGAAGCCTCCTCTACGCTGCTTCCTGAAGACGCTTTCTTTTTCTTCTTCTTCTTGCTTTTTCCCATCTTTTTTGCCTTTTTCAGAATCTTTTCCCTCCTAGAAGGGTTTGGATCCAAACCTGTGCCGCTATACACCTCATTGAGGGCCTGCTGCCCCTGCTCCAATGAGGTGCTCTTCACATTGGGAGACTCTCCTAACCTCCCTTCTTCTGCCCTCATCTCGTCTGCACTCCTCTTCTTCTTTTCTTTCTTTGACGCGTTCTTCTTCTCCTTGGCATCAGCTCCTGTTGCCGCTACCTGCATTCTCCTCAGCTCAGCCAACTCATCTCGGCCCGGCTCTGCTCTTTCTGTTGCAACCGCCTCCAGGTTAGTGAGCCAGGGCAACCTTCTCAAGTCGGTCTCCTCAAAAGTCCGGCCATGGACTAACAGGGGATCTGTCAAGAGCCCACTGCACTCCTCCGTGCAACAGTGAATGCTCACCTTCCTTGAAGGGATTCCTGTCAGCACACGCAGAAGCTCATCGTCTTTTGTGCCGGTCACCGTCAGCTCAACGTACATCTCTCCTTCCTCAATCTTCGCCTGTCGTAGGCGGCCCGCCAGATGAATTGTCCTGCCATAGTACTTGGAGTCTTGGAGACAAACTGGACCAAGTTTCTTGAGCTCCGGAAAAGTCAGGGCGCTAAGAAGTCTGGGAGGAGCGGCTGCTTCTTCTTCCTCCTCCCCTTCGTCCCGAGCAGCTGGACGCCGAAGCCGGGGCGCCGCAGCAGCTGGACGGCGCAAAGCTCTCCTAGCCATCTTGGGAGGCATGTCCTCCCCTAGCGTCTCTTCCTTCTTCTATTGTTGAACCGCTCTTGTTTGGCCCTCTTGACCACTCCTTTGTTTGTCCCGGAGCTCCACCGTGCGTGGTCACTCCTGGGAACCGGTCCAACCTACCCTCGGCCAGGGGGTGGATGACGGGGCTCTGGGGGGCGACCTCCCAAATGACTGGCGAGGCGGATGGTCTGGCTCAGGAGGTCGCTCAGACCGCTTTTTCTTTGAGCGCCCTCTCACGGCAGTCCGTCGAGACTTGGACCGCCCTCTTCTTGAGCGGGACCTAGACCTCCTCTTGGTCTTGGCTTCTCGGTCTCGGCTCCTCCTTCGGCTTCTTTCTCGGCGGCTTCCTCTGGAGTGTCTCCTTGAGCGGCTGGGGTGGCTTCTAGGCGGTCTGGAAGGTCTCGAGGATGAGGCACCTGCATTTTCAACCTCAACGACGCCTCGATGTCCTCCTGGTGGGCTCCTGGGCGGCTCCTCTTTCACAGGTTGGGCGGCGGTCTCCTTGGGCTCGACGAGTTCTCTGGGCGGAGCTGGCGGCTTTACTTTTGGAGTAGTCTGCAAGATCTGCTGGGGCTCCTTTGTCTCGCCCTTGGGAGGGGGTACTGTGGCAGTAGTACCCTCCTCCCCTTTGCCAGGCACCCGCTGCACAGGCCCTACAACACCTGAAGTCGACTCCAGGCGCTGCAGCTCGTCCCGGCACTCAGCTTCCAGTACCCTGAGCCTATCTCCAACCCAGGGTACAAAGGTTAGATGGCCCCCCCGCTCGCAATCAGGTGGAAAATGCGAGGGAGGCTCTTACAGACGGAGCAGGGACAACTGTCTGCGTGTCCCCACATCCAAATCCCTTAAGCCAGAGCTACATTAAAAGAAATCGTGAATTCATGTTTATCCCCGGGGGCGAAAGGACATATACGTAAATGGTGGATTAGCCAGCCATGTTTGATTGCCGGAGAGTAAATTGTGACATCCCTATAGATCCCTGATGTACCATGAGGCCCCACCACCAGCTTGGAAAACAGCAGCACTTCTTCGGCCTTGGAATATGGTGCCTTGGCATCTTCCGCTTGCTCCTGCCAGCGCAAAGGTTCTTCTATATGTGTGCCATCCGAATTGTGGTGAATTTTTGGCAAAATTGTCATCCCTGTTCCAAGAATTGGATCAGTGAAGTTATAACTTCTTTACTGAATTGTTTATATATCGAAAAATCATGAACCCTCGGATCAGTAAATCTATAGGTGAGCAACTTATCAATGGATCAAAAATATCAAAACGTACTATTTTTTCCAAACAAAAACTAAAGTTAGATTCGTTAGATTCGTTTGTTCATCATACAATCAGAACTTGTCTGTCCAAAAGTGTCCACAACTTCCACCCAGCACCTTGGCCAGGAGCGACTCAGTCTCCTCCTCGCCCTCACCGGGCGGACCTCGCAACCTGGGACAAGTACAAATACAACAGATATGGATGGATGGATGGATGGATGGATGGATGGATGGAGATGTGGATGTGGATGTGGATGTTGATGTGAATGTGGATGTGAATGTGGATGTGGATGTCTATGTGTATGTCTATGTCTATGTCTATATTATATCTATGTGTATGTGTATAAATATGTATATATATATATATATGTGTGTGTGTGTCTGTCTGTATGTCTGTCTGTATGTCTGTATGTCTGTATGTCTGTATGTATGTGTGTCTGCGTGTATGTGTGTATGTGTGTATATATGTGTATATGTATATGTCTATGTGTATGTGTATATGTATATGTATGTATATGTGTGTATATGTATGTATATGTATGTATATGTATGTATATGTATGTATATGTATGTATATGTATGTATATGTATGTCTATGTATGTCTATGTATGTGTATGTATGTATATGTATGTATATGTATGTCTATGTATGTCTGTGTATGTCTATGTATGTCTATGTATGTCTATGTATGTCTATGTATGTATATGTATGTCTATGTATGTCTATGTATGTCTATGTATGTGTATGTATGTCTATGTAGGTCTATGTATGTCTATGTATGTCTATGCATGTCTATGTATTTCTATGTATGTGTATGTATGTCTATGTATGTGTATGTATGTCTATGTATATCTATGTATGTCTGTGTATGTCTATGTATGCCTATGTATGTGTATGTCTGTATGTGTATGTATGTGTATGTATGTATGTATGTATGTGTATGTATTTCTATGTATGTGTAAATGTATGTGTATATGTATGTCTATGTATGTCTATGTATGTTTATGTATGTCTATGTAGGTCTATGTATGTCTATGTATGTCTATGCATGTCTATGTATTTCTATGTATGTGTATGTATGTCTATGTATGTGTATGTATGTCTATGTATATCTATGTATGTCTATGTATGTCTATGTATGCCTATGTATGTGTATGTCTGTATGTGTATGTATGTGTATGTATGTATGTATGTGTATGTATTTCTATGTATGTGTAAATGTATGTGTATATGTATGTGTATATGTATGTGTATATGTATGTGTATATGTATGTGTATGTCTGTGTATGTCTGTGTATGTATGCATGTACATATGTACGTATGTACGTATGTACGTACGTGTGTATGTATGTGTGTATGTATGTCTGTCTGTCTGTCTGTCTGTCTGTCTGCCTGCCTGCCTGCCTGGATGTATGTATGTATGTATGTATGTATGTATGTAATGTATTTATGTATGTATATATATATACATATTTATGTATAATATTTGTATATATATATATGTATATATATATATGTATAATATACAATATAATATATTTATATATATGTATGATATATGATATATGATATATGATATATGATATATAATATACAATATATAATAAATAATATATAATATTTAATGTATAATATATAATATATAATATATAATTCATAATATATATAATTTAATATCATATAATATATAGATATATATGATATACATATATATATATGTAATATATATATGTAATATATATATATACATATCATATCTACTGTTATTATTGGAATTATGCCAAAGTTTTGTTAGTCCTTTCGTGGCAGAAATATGTCCCTTACATTCCTTTACTTTGATGGGTACATGGTCTAGGCTCACAAGTTGACCCAATCTGTGCAGACCCCCATGTGGCGCCGAAACATCAAACATGTAATGTGTGAATTATCTCTTTGTAACCCACAAATAGTCTGCAACTAGAACATACAGATGGGCTATATGTGTATGTATTTATATATATATACTGATTTGTCTCACTCGTGGTGAAGGTATGTAGAACCACTATACACTGATAGGTACGTCCACATATACATATATACAGAGTATGTATATATATATATACAAATACATGCACATGTAATTAACTGTAATTCTATAATTTGTATGTACATAATTATATATAATTATGTGTATATATATATATTCTGACATACATGTAATGGATAGACCCATCGCTGGGTCTCCCAGCTCCTCTTGTCGCCTTCGAAACATGACATGAGGGCCACGCTCTTCTTCGTTAACTCATGCCACCAGGCAGCTTTTCACAAGGGAACGATGTAAAGGATGGGTCAAAATGTCAGGTCAGCTTTAGGAATGGTTCCATTATGGTTCCATTGTGGTTCCATTTTTGGGGGCGATTTTGGGTCGCATCTTTGGAGCGACCTGTTCGCTCAACAGAGGTTACCAACGAAGACTCAGACAGGGGAGTTCTTAAAATTGATCCCCAAGGTTTCAATACTAAAACTGTCCAATGACTTGGGTGATTTGGGGGTACCCCCATTTTAGGAAACCTCCACGTGTCACATGCGGCTTTCGGAGTTATGTGGAACTCTCCAGCATCATCAAGGCTCGCTGCTTGAGCCAAAGCTGGCCACAACTTCGCGGCATCATTTCCTGTTTGCTAGTTTGACTGCATCCCAGAAGCTTTGGTGAACCGGAGTCATCAACACATGCAATGTGCAGGGACGGACGACAAACACCAGTTTTGACATCAACCAACGTTCATTGGTCAAAGTCAGCATGTTTGTTCATACATCCCCAAGTGAAAGTTCACACATCAACCATCATCAACCCCCATCAACCATCATCAACCATCATCGACCACCATCAACCCTCATCCTTCCCAATGGCTGCTTGAAGCCTCCGCAGCCGATGTTTTTTTTTTCCGGCCGCGCTCACGACGAGCTCCTCCTGGATGGTAACAGAGCGCAAAATCTTCGGGGTAACAGTGGCGTTGGATCCATACTTGGTAGGTTGAAGCCCCCGAAAAAAACATGGGAATCATAATCATAATCATCATAATCCAATATTTGGTAGATTAAACCTGTATTATAATCATAATCATAATCCAATTATGATTATATTTGTATTTATATGTGGTAGATTAATACAAATATAATCATAATCATCCTAGGGCGAAAAAGAGAAACATATAGAAACATGAAACCTACAGCTAGATACACAAATTGGGATGACATCCAACCTTTCTTGCTTGCGGTCAAACCCCCTGGATGGCAGTACTGCCTATTGCAGAGGAAAAACAAAAAACACAGGAAAAAAAACAATCTTTGTGTATGGGCATGGCGTTTGCGGGCATGTGGCTTTGGTTGGCAGGCTCCAAAAGTGCTATTTCACTTTCAGATTCATGCAGTTGTTTCTCAGTCGGATCGTTTGATGGATAGATTCATTCGAATATTTCTCACACTGGACTTGCAGCTGGACCTCCTCTTGTTCTTCTTTTCCTGCGCAGATGGAGTGAGCCGGAATGGACTGTGTACTTCCTGCAATGCTGATGGGGACAATGGTCCAAAGTCAAACAAGATAAGCGCAAAATGGAAATAGAGAAAGCTCTGAAAGCATCAGGTCCATCTGCTCCCATCAAACCTTTGGAAGGATTTGGAAGGTGACTTCTCAAAATTCCCAAGCTCGCATCCCGGATGCATCCCTGCTCCTTCTTCGATGGAGCTTCAGAGATGCTACTTTTTCTCCTGAGCTGAGTCCAATTGGAGGAGAAAAAATGAGCCAAGCTGGGAGAGTTAATATACTATAATTATACTATAATATGTATATAATTATGTATATATATATATATACTGTATACACATACCTTTAGCATTGTTTGCATTTTTTTGAATGGAAGCATTGTGTTTCTGACGCCGCCGCAACAGGAGTATGCAAACCCTTAGTGCAGTCCTTTTCTCTTTCTCTTTTTCCTTTGCTCTTCCCCTCTCCTGCATGTACTTCGAGGCCGTTCCGTCGATAAGCTAGCGAAGAGTAGGCCAACAAATACAAACATCTCAAATCTAGTTTTCAGGCCAAGTCACTTTGGCTGCACAGCAGTCATCAGCAAACACTGTGCATTTCACGAAGTGGAAAATTGGTTCTAAATGATTTTGGATGATTTTGGTCATTAACTTTTTTGTTGTAGTAAACCATCCGAATTTGGCGGTGTCCAAATTTCACCCATGCAAAAATGAACTGAATGTGGTTTGGTCCTTGTCTTTCTTTTTTGCTGAGGAACGAGAGCTCTCGCTTCTCTTCCTTGACATCCATGTGCTCGTCTGAATCCAATCCAAAATTGCATTGTCCTAAAAAGAATGTTTGATTTGTGAATTCTATGATCAGTTTCTCATTTTCACAAGCTGACTTGGGGAGTGCGTTCCTCTTCAGCCTCATCAACATGCATCAATCTCAACCTGCCAGCCGGTGCGCCTCTTCTCTTTCTCCTGCATCGATGCAAATTGTGCAGAAAGAACATCTTCTCAATACAAAGTTCAATTGTTGAAAGGATTCAAAGCTCTGATTTAAAAAAAAATGCTCCTTCTCTTTCTTCTTTGCTCGAGAGGAACGAGAGCTACCGCTTCTCTTCCTGACAGATTAACAACTCACCCAGCCCAGTTTGTGTGCCCAAAGTTTTGTCACATTGTCTCTGAGTTTGGTAATTTGCTGACACTATAGAGTACGAGTATGCAAAAGCTGTGATCTTTCACCCTAGAAATACCTCCGACTCCCATACAAAATGGACGATAACTGCTGATTTTGGCATCTGGGCGAATGCTTACACCATCTGAGTGCAGCCCAAACATCCGATAAATTCCAACCATAAACTCGCATCTGACGATGAGATATTCCGAAACAATGGGAAAGTTGCAGATGCATTTGTCTGTGCGTATAATGCGCCTCTTCTCTTTCTCCTGCATCGATGCCAATTGTGCAGAAAGAACATCTTCTCAATACAAAGTTCAATTGTTGAAAGGATTCAAAGCTCTGATTTTAAAAAAAAATGCTCCTTCTCTTTCTTCTTTGCTCGAGAGGAACGAGAGCTACCGCTTCTCTTCCTGACAGATTAACAACTCACCCAGCCCAGTTTGTGTGCCCAAAGCTTTGTCACATTGTCTCTGAGTTTGGTAATTTGCTGACACTATAGAGTACGAGTATGCAAAAGCTGTGATCTTTCACCCTACCAGAATACCTCCGACTCCTATACAAAATGAACGATGACTGCTGATTTTGGCATCTGGGCGAATGCTTACATCATCTGAGTGCAGCCCAAACATCCGATAAATTCCAACCATAAACTCGCATCTGACGATGAGATATTCCGAAACAATGGGAAAGTTGCAGATGCATTTGTCTGTGCGTATAATGCGCCTCTTCTCTTTCTCCTGCATCGATGCCAATTGGGCAGAAAGAATGTCTTCTGAATGCAAAGCTTTTAAACAAAAACCATTATTGACACAATCCAAAGCTCTGATTCAAAATAAACTCAGGTGCCACCCCCAACAGCTTGAAAGCTTCTGCGTTTTTGCCATAAAAAGTGCTTATGCCATAAAAAAAAACATCGGAACCCTTTGGAATTTCACAAAGCATCTGCACCAGAACCCTCCGGAACCTCACAAGGTATCTGCACCGGAACCCTCCGGAACCTCACAAGGTATCTGCACCGGAACCTTCCGGAACCTCACAAGGTATCTGCACCGGAACCTTCCGGAACCTCACAAGGTATCTGCACCGGAACCTCCGGAACCGCACAGAACCCTCCGGAGCCTCAGCAGGTATCTTCACCGGAACCCTCCGGAACCTCACGAGGTATCTGCACCAGATCCCTCCGGAACGTTGTCCAAAACCTGGTGTTGAAGCTGCACCGGATCGCACCGGAGCTAATCTGGGCCAAAGACCGCATAGCAAAGTTTTGCTGTTGGGGGAAAAAAAAACGCAGTTGCTCCTTATCTTTCTTCTTCGCTCGAGAGGAACGCGAGCTACCGCTTCTTTTCCTCTGCAGGATCAGATTGACAGGTTTGACAGAGGGTTTGTTGTACATCAAATTGAAGTGTATAGTAAGCGGGCGGTGCAGCATGCGCAAGGCCTCTTCTCTTTCTCCTGCACAACTGAAATGCTGGTGCAAAGCGGGCGCACCACCGAAGCCAGACATCAGCGCAAATGGAACCAAAACGCAACCACTTTTGCTTTATCCAATCTTGTATATAGAATCCCGTTATGTTCTCTCTTGAATCTGCTACCAGTGTGGTCGTTTTTGCTTTGGTTTTCAAGCAGCGCCCAGGAGTGTCCTTGTCTTTGCGCTTGGCCTGTCATTTGGCGCAAGGAATTGTGTTTTGCATGAGGAACATTCACTTAGCCGGCAAGATGTTCCCATGATTCCTTGACCATGCGATGCGATACAACGCAATGCAAGGCAATCTAATGTGTATGTTGGTATGTATGTATATGAATGTGTGATATTATAAATGTAAATGGATATTGATTTAGATATACAGTAGATATCTTTGAAAGGGGTTCCGTCCGTCTTTTGACTGCATACTGGTCAAGACATTGCTGATCAACCATCTCAGACTCCCTAGGCTCCCTAGAGAAGATAGTCAAACATGTCTGCCCTATTGCCATAGTGTTTCCGATGTTTCCTCTTCGTGGCAAACCACCCATTTTTTGGGTATCCACCATCCCCATCCCAATGAATTCGGAGTAGCCAAAGGCTTCTTCCCCATGTGCCGCTTGAATTTGGAGTTGATCCCACAATGACCCATGGCCAATCCGTTGTCACGATTTCAGCAGTTTCAGCGACCAGTCCATTTTCGGCTGAGATGCATCCTTCTCCCGACCTTTTGATCTGGATCTGGATCTTTTCCTGTCGCAAGATGGGCAAATTTGGGATGCAATCATGCAAGTCTAGCGTCTGTGGAAGATGTCTTTCTCCATCATCAGATTAAACGGGATGCACCCCAAATCCACTAGTCACTACTTCATCATGATGTTCACCTTTGAAATAGCATGCCCTCGAGACACACCCCGATGCGAAAGCGGCCCCGGTGACCGTGGCGGCATGTTCCAAGATCACCCTGAGGGACCCTAGCCATGTATTTACCACTTGCAATTTGTCATGACATCCAAGTATCGTATAATACAGGCCAGTGATAAGACACTTCAACTTTCAGTGCCAGAGCACTTCCACCCACAAGCAGTCGATACCCTGGTGATGGCCCTGTTTAGGTTTTCAGAGCCGAGTGTAAGAAGGGGAGACACCCTGAAACAATGATTCGCAAATTTTGGGATATTTAGGGATTGATTTTCAGAAGGCAAAGTGGACGGAATCTACTGAATTATCCGTTGCTGCGAATTGTCTAGTGTCATTGGACCAGAAAAAGGAATGATGCAAACAATTCCGCGCCTGGATCTGTCCTTTTGGTCTCTCGAGCGGGATCTCTCTTTGTCCTGTAGGTTGTTGCTCACAAACCCTTTGGGCGCGGCATAGCAAGGAGGTGTCAGGGCTCAAATCACTCTTGGAACCAACCAAACCAGTGTCCTTTTCCTTCTCTTTTCGTTTCTCTTTACCTCTATCCTTGTCATCTTCCTTCTCGGCCTTTTTTTCCTTCTCTCTCTCTTTCTCTTTTTCTTTCTCTTTCTCTTTCTCCTTCTCCTTCTCCTTCTTCTCTTTCAGCCTCTCCTTGTCGTTCTCCGACTCCTTGTTTTTCTTCTCCTTTTTGTCCTTCTCTTTTTCCTTTTCCTTCTCTTTCACCTTCTCCTTCTCCTTTTCCTTCTCTTTCGCCTTCTCCTTCTCTTTTGCCTTTCCCTTCTCCTTCTCACTATCCTTTTTCTCCTTCTCCTTGGCATGTTCCTTGTCCTTCTTTTCCTTCTCTTTCTGATCCTTCTCCTTTTCCTTCCCAGCCTCCTTTTCTGTCACATCATTTTTCTCCTGTTTGTGCTCGTTGTTTTCAGAATTCACATCTTGAACCTCCGCTTTCTCCGCTGCAAGCGTCTCTTTTTCAACTTCCATCTCTGTGGCTTTGTCCTGCACGGCAAGCCGCGGAATGTGGAGAAACATGGTTGCAACATGTTGCAACCCCTTTCTCCTGCTATTAAATGCCCTCTATTTATTTTTCCGGTTGTATTTGACATATGCAGGGTGGGATTAAGCGAGCGATTAAGGGTGCACTTCTTTGTTTCTTTGTCCTTGTCAAAGTTTGGACTAATGGTAACCTCTCACCACTGACTTCAAAGGTCCATCAGCCCTTCGTCATACTCGGTGATTTCTTGTGTCAAGAGTTGGACCCAACAAAAAATGTGAATCTTTGGATTGGTTTGAGGGAAAGTCTACAGGACATCATGATGTTTTCCATGTTTTTCCTATGAAATATGGGGGGGGTCCTGTAAATTTCCCCATACACCAATCCAGTGATTGAATGGCTGTTTCTGTTGAAATTTGTGCAGCAGCCCCATCTGCACAGCTTTTGATTCAACACAGTCCCGGCGGGAAACGGCCGCTATGTCTCAGGGGAACCTCACCCCTTCAAAGGGAGGCTTGGCAAAAGCAGTACAAGCCTAGCCTTGTGTCTACTGGCAGTCAGAATGCCATGTTCAATTGGTTGCGATGGTAGGTGACAATAATTTTGGCTGAACTCTGCTTAAGTATTCACAAAAGCCATCAGATGCACTCAGCAGGATTCTGAGCAAGTGATACTGTCAGATTCAAAGAAAGGCTGCAGCAGGCAACAAATCGTTTGATTGTTGAAGTTTACATCGACTGCGCATCCAGGTGCACAAACTAGCTCACCTCGAGCGCATGTGCAATCCAAGTGAGACTGATGGTCAAAGCAAGAGTCAAATGGTCAGACCGGTGAACGCCACCAACTGCGCCGGGTGCCCAAGTGTGAGTGTTCTGACTCTCCTGCGCATCCTCAGTTTTTGGACTGCTAGGACTGCTCAGACTGTCATCTTCGGAATTCTGCCCTGTTTCAGTCCCGCTGCCCTCAGCTTCTGGCTTGGAGCAGTGTCCTTTAGCTTCTACTTTGTAGGAAGTCTTCCCATTGAGCTGCTGAATCTTGGTTCCACATGGTTGAGAAGCGAACGAAGCTTGGAACGTTTCCCCCGCGCATTTGGCTGCTTCATATGCCGTGGCTTCGGCGCAGTCTTCACATTCATCACACCATTGCCCGCACTCAGCAGATTAGGTCACACCCACATCCTCTGCTGAGGAGGGTTCTGAGGATGTTGAGGACGTTGAGGACGTTGACGACGACTCTGAGGGTGCTGATACCTCATCATCATCATCATCATCATCATCATCATCATCTGAAGAGCAGCCGGAGCATGCCGGAGCCATAGAAATCGATCTCATAGTGGATGTTGCAAGTAATAATTCTTACAGTATCGATGTGAAAATATCGTTTGCCTGGATCATTGAGCACCGTAATCATTGACCCAGTCTTGAAGCATGTCTCGTCGAATCCCGAGGCGGCTGCTTTGTAGCTGACGTACAGTGGACGTACAGCGAACAAAAGACGACCACTGATCTTGGTTGGTGTAAACATTTACCAAGGATTCACCATCATCCGAGGAGACCATGATTTTCACTGCATTGACATCCTGACATGGCGGTATACATGGTCAAAAAAAAAAATGTCTTCCTTTCAGATTTCCCAAATAGTGGCTTTGCCACTGGGAAAGCAAAAAAACACCAAAAAGAAATGTCTCAGCAAATCTGAGTACTTATCCGAAGTACTCCAGTGTGAAACAAAGCCGGAAGCCGAAATAGATGTTGTTTCGGCCGACGTCGTATCGATTGAATCACACTGGGCGGCAACAAGGTCAGGCATCACCAGCAAAGCCCACAATGGCATGGCTAGGACACAACTCTTCATGGTGACCCTGCTGTTTTGAGGGTTACCTCTCTGCAGCTAAAGCCAACTCTTCCAGAAAGCAAATTCTATAAAATAAGAAGACGCAGACACAGAGTGAAAGCACAAATACGACTTTACAAGGCAAAGGAACAGTAAGGAGCAAAGTTTGAGAATCACCAAGAAACGCGTGCATCTTGTATATCCTATTTTTTCTACGACTGCGATGCAAAACGTGAACACACTCACATTTCGACATCACCCCAGCACCCCCCCTTCTAACCTTTTTTGGAAGGAGTGTCCTTCAAGACCCAGAGAATTGGAGCAACCTGTATATCCACCAAATACCCAAGGCTAAGCTAATCACTCCCCTGCCCTACTTGCAGTCCTTGGTGTTGTCTGCTTCATTTTTCAATTCACTGGTCTGAGTCATTGGCTCCTGGTACCACCCATGACATGGTTATACCTTTTTGCCGCAGTGAAACTTCAAATATTCCTAGACGTGTTGTTTGTTCATGAGCAAACTGACCTCAGAAGGATACGTTCCACCTAAATATGTTTCAAGATCAGAAAAAATCAGAGAGGTTCAGTGTGGTGTTGGATCAAAATTCCAGACCACCCAAAGGACTCTTTAAATTCAGCATTGAGTCATCAAAAATAGTTGGAGCACCAAAGTTTTACCAAAACCCACATCCAAAAAAACAATCGAAATGAAGTTTTAGCCTCCTGGTCCTTGTCGTTTTTTCCGTCTTGTTGTGCGGCCTCCCAGCATTCCGAGATGTTCCATTACTAGAAGGTTAGCGCTTCGCTGCCGGGGCGGCAACATAAAAAGGTTTTGCACTATGGTAAACCCATCACAAGTTCGATCAAATACAAGTTTACCCTTTGGGGAATGGCGTAGCAAAATCAAATGGGCAAATGGTTCAGCTTTCCACAGTAGACACACCATTTAGACACCTGAAGAATTGCCTTCAATAATATTATCAGCGAGCGTTTGGAACATAGGATATGTCCCTCATCGCCTGGTCTCCTACAGCCAAAAAAGGCAGTAGCATGCCGTACCGCAGTAAGAATGCAGGAAACTGCAACGTAGACACTGGAGAGAAGGTTGTGCGAGTAAGCCGAACTTACTTTGAGATAGGTGTCACCATCTCGCTGATATGCTGATATTTCATGCTATTGATACGGGTGTGCCTGAAAATAGGTATACCCACAAAAGAGTATTTTTATTACTATTATTACATTTATACGTATATATATATATATATATACCAGTAGTGCCGCTCAAGGCGGTGGCGGAAGTTTCAAAAATAGGAAACCTATAGGAGAGGTTGGTTGTTGCAAATCACGGATGGCAGGGCGAATCCACTGATGGACCGACAGGTGGTTGGAGTTGTGTTTTTTGGAATGTTTGCAATGGTTGCAGTGGTCACCTCACCACAACTGCTGGACGTAGTGTGGTGTAGTGCAGTTGTAGTTGCAGTTATAGCTGTAGTTGTAGTGTAGTGTAGTGGGGCCGTAGCTGTAATGTAGTGTAATTAGAGTATTTGCAAATGCAGTTTCAGTTGTAGCCGTGGTGTGGTGTAATTAGTGTAATGTAGTGCAGTGTAATGTCGTGTAGTATTGTGTAGTGTAGTGTGGTATACTGTAGTGTAGTCTAGTGTAAGGTAATGTAGGTGTAGTTGTAGTTTAGTGCAGTGTAATTAGTGTAGTGTAGTGTAGTGTAGTGTAGTGTAGTGTAGTGTGGTGTGGTGTAGTGTAGTGAAGTGTAGTGTACTGTACTGTACTGTAGTGTAGTGTACTGTAGTGTAGTGTAGTGTAGTCTAGTGCAGTGCAGTGCAGTGTAGTGTAGTGTTGTGTGGTGTAGTGTAGTGTTGTGCAGCGTAGCGTAGTGTAGCGTAGCGTAGTGTAGTGTAGTGTAGTGTGCTGTAGCTGTAGCTGTAGGTAGCTGTAGCTGTAGCTGTAGCTGTAGCTCCAGCTCTAGCTCTAGCTGTAGCTGTAGCTGTAGCTGTAGCTGTAGCGTAGTGCAGTGTAATTAGTGTAGCGTAGTGTAATGTAGTGTAATGTAGTGTAAGGTAGTGTAGTGTAGTATGTGTAGGGTACAGTAGAGTAGTGTAGCGTAACGTAGTGTAGTGTAGTATGTGTAGTGTAGTGTTATGTAGTGGTAGTTGTAGTTGCAGTTGCAGCTGCAGTTGTAGCCGTAGCGTAATGCAATTCGCACCATAACAGCATGCACTTTTTCGACATCTTAACTTCCAAAAGTGCTCTGAACCCGTCAGTTTTTTACACTTTTGACTTCGAAATGTGCTTCGCGCCACAACCGCATGCACTTTTTCGACATCACTCATCAAAGGAGCTTATATAGCTCCTTAGGCCTGTGCGCTGGCCTATGATTCACCTGATGGTCTACCCACTGAACCAAGCACCACCTCAATGTTAGTGACTGTTAGTGCCCACTCAATGGTAGCGTAGATGATCAATCCAGTCAGCAATCCCAAAATGAATGACCAGGGTTCAATGAAGCGGCTTGAAGAGGAGCTGCCGGCAAGCAGCGGCTGAAAGTGCGCAGAATCAGCCCACTCAAATAGCTTAAGTGCCAAAGCTACAGATGACCCTGCTGACAATCCAGTCGTCAGAGGGCGAAGGCTCATTCGGGCCAAAGATTCTGGCACCATTCACATGAAAACATGCACCTCATATTTATATGTACATACACAATCACACAATACTGTAGCTTCTACAACTGCAACTTTGCTTGCTTGGCTCTGACCTTGTGGCACATCCCAAGAGCCTCGCCTTCGCCGCACGGCGTTCCTTGTCCTTGGCCTTCTGCGCGTTTTCTGCGGCCTTGGCGCAGACCCGGAGATTCCCATGCAGCTCATCTGGCTATGCTTGGTGACCGTCCAATTTGTAGGGCTTAACTTTGAGCCATCACCATTTCTGGTCATATCAGTGCACTACTGAGTCTACTGATTCCAAAATGACCCAAAACTTGTTGGAATGCTCCCCGCTCAACCAGTTACGGTAGTAAATCAATCCAACCATCAACCATTTCTGTTTGGACCCGCAAAAAAGATCAACAAAGGCTCGTTTGTTGGTATCCTACTGTCCAGTTTCCAAATTGCCTGAAAATCGATCGTGCAATACTAAAACCTAAACTTACATGGCACCAACGGACCCTCAAAAAGTTTTGGTTCCAAAAAGTGACCCATACAATGTGGCAGCCCCAATTCTGCGTGTGTGGTTTAAAGCCCGCATGAACTAGTGAACTTAGTTAGTTCGAAATATCTACATATATCTATCAAAAACCCAACAATTAGCCTAGTTAAATGCCGCTCCTGCCAGTTCTTGAGCCAAGAAACCAAGCGCTCCTCTCGTGCTTTCAGTGCAGCAGCAATCTCTGCTTGCCGGGAGGCCTCGAAATCATCAGCTGGTTTTGCCCCGGGTACCCACAGTTCCATATGGCCAATGGGGAACATGTATGAAAATATGAAAATATGGGAAAATGATGATATAAACCACTAGAATTTTGGGGGGGGGCGC